AATTTCTCCATGGTTACTTTCCTTGAACTTGGATGTGTTTCCTCAAGTTTTCTGGCTTTTTAATTCCCAAGTCAACAATCACACGTCCTGGGTGTGGAGCTTATTTCCTACAATGGTCCAGTGACGAGCATTCACTGTCTCAGATTCTTCAGACATTAGCCGAATGCTTCCCCCCCTGCAGTTTCATCAGTGTGATGTCAGCAGGTGGAAGTTGGAAAGGACAGGTGAAAGGGGGCTATGGTATTTTGTTTCTCCCCATCTCTAGCTACTACAGAGTGGTTTTTGGAAGAGAACGAAGTGTGCAATGAGGCATTCTTTAAGGCATTTTCTTTGCATTTCCAGTAAGAGTGGAATGCAGGCTGAGCCAAGGATTGTAGATCAATGCCCATGTTTTCTTGTATTTGTCAGTTCCAGAATCACGGATTATAAATCAACCATTTCACTGGGCCACTCAGCACTCCGATTGTCTGCTCATAGAATTGGGAACTTGATCTATCTCAATTCTGTAGCCTAATGGATGCTCTGTTGATTGGTGAGTTACTGTAATCTCACCAGGTGTCCTCATCCATGAAGAAAGCCCAAGGTTCTGCATAGCTGGGTAAGGGTTCCACTTGTTTTTATTTGGTCTCAGATCAAGACTTCTATAGTTTGCTGGCAATCGGTCCAAAGGAAACTTTCAACTTTTTCTAGAGAACTTAACAGTGGGGAGATGAACTTGTAAAAGTCGAAATTGACATTTCCTTTAAAGGTAGTTCATTGAAACAGAACTATGGCATTTAAAGCAACTGGAATGATTCTTTATTGGTGAATATTAATTTGTACGAAATAGTGAGTGTAATAACTAAAGCAAATATGTTTTGAGCTGAAAAAGATGTCACAGGACATACATTGTTTCTTAGAATAAGAATTTGATATGAAGATATAAACAATATTTTAAGTGATGAGTGGATTCTTAGACCTTTTTTTTTTTTGAAAAAAAATTACCTACCCCATACCAGGTAATTTTCAGCATTATGGGTGTTGGTGAACAGTGTTGGTCAAATGGTCCACTATTGAAAATATGTTAAAAATAAGCAATAAATAAATACAAATTTTGTGCAATGTGAGGCAAAAATCCATCAAAAGTTTTCAAATGAGTGGTATATTCAATACATAAGCAAATGGAGGAGTGGTGAGACATTCAGGGAAAAAGTATATCTAGAAACAAATGCCAAGATTATTTTATCCAGGAGCAGTTGGGCACTATGTATTCACAAGAGTATTCAGAAGCATGTGCTGTGAATTTGAGTTATTGATCTTTTATTGTTTCTCTCTAGAGTGACAACTGCTGAAATGACACTTTTTCCTGTCTTCTCTTAATATGATAATTTTCAACTCTGGTTCCAGCATGAGGTGGATTTGTCTCATTTATACATTGTCTTAAAGAAAAGAACTGCCAGCCCTCTTTCAATAAGATCTTGTCTCATAGGACAAATCATCCTCCTTGTATTTCTTTTACACAGGCAGACTGAATTCAGAGTGGAATCCATTCCTTAAGGCAAGTCTGAAGAAGGGAATCATGCCCTGTGGCAGCCGCTGCAGTCTCTTCCAGTGTAAGAATCCATGGCAGCATACACAATGTTACACTGCTTCCTGAGCTTCAGTAGGACAAAAAGTGCCACAGAGATATATGACCTCTATTACTATTCATATTTTCATCATACGTTGAATTTACCTAGATGAATTAAGTATACATTAAAGAATTCATGGACTTTGTGTGTTAGTTGTTTAATTTTTTCATTGATCAGGAATATTAATTGTCCCCATTCATTCCTGTATCAAATAAATCTACCTTGTGTCTTCCCCAAATATATAGTCCTCCACCCTGAGAAAACCTGTCAACATGTCTTTTCATTATGAGGTGGTACAAACCTTAATGCTTGGTCATATATTAGTAGGATTGGAAGATATTGTGCCTGGAATCCATCCTTCATGGTCAATAGCCTATAAAACCAAGAACTAGAACATCGGGGCTTTAATTCTTGGCTAGAGGGAGAGGTTCTCAGTCATATCTCTAACCCTGAAAGGAGATTATTAGAGCATAACCTTCTAAACCTGAATAAAGGAGACCAAAACCATTTAAGATTCCTGTCTAGCAACTAGCTTTTTGGTAAAAAAAACAAAAACAAAAACAAAAAAACCCCAACAAAAACAAAAACAAGGAAATACTATTGTCCTCTCTTAAGAGTCAGTACAAACAGGCCTGTAGATCAACTGGGTAAGACAGTGTTACTCAGAAAAAGCTGTCTGTTCTAGACCTCAGAAATAGTACAAAGCCTACTTAAAATAAAGATTAAGGCAGCTCTCTTTGTCTGTGGTGGTTTGAATAAGAATGATCTCCATAGGCTCATATATTTGAATGTTTAGGGCATGGCACTATTTGAAAGGATTAGTAGGTGTGGCCTTGTTGGAAGAAGTATGTCACTGGGGGGTGGGCCTTGAGGTTACAAAAGCCCAAGCCTTGTCCAATCTCTCTGTCTTTCTTTTTTACTCCTCTTTTCTCTCCATATCTCCTGCTGCCTGTGGGTTTAGATATGGAGCTCTCAACTACTTCAGTACCAAGCCCGCCTGTGTGCTACTGTGGTTCCCACCATGATGAAAGTAGACTAAACCTCTGATACTGTAAGTGAGCCAGTTAAATGCTTTCTTTTATAAGAATTGCCATGGCTATGGTGACTCTTCATAGTCATAGAACCCTGACTAAGACATTGACCATTGTCTAGTCTCATCCCTGAGCATGTAGTAGTAAACTTTGTCTGTCTTCTGTAGTTCCCCTGTGACTCATTTGAATTATTTTGACATCAATCATAAGGATATGGGAGTTGAAGGGAAGAATCTGCCATACCAGATTCTAGTGACAGCAGCAGAGGTTAAAGCCTAGGACTGGACAGCGAATAGCAAGGGACCACTGCCTGTGTCTCTGTCCATGGAATGCTGGCTTTCTTGGCTGGTCCACGGAGAAGAAAGAGGTTCTCTGTGGACACAGAGTAAGGAACACATGTTTCCCTTTCTAGAAAAAGGCCAGAGAGCCCAGGAAATGCAGTTAGATCAAAGACAAAATGATACCAGAGGCTGAGACATGTGTCTTATGATCTCAGGAGGCAAAGCTCCAGCAAGACCCAGGTGCAAGCACAAAAGGGGCAAGGAAAGACTCACGATGGACACGAGGCTGGCATCATCTCTGGAACCTTGGCCCCATTCTGACTCACTGCTTACAGGGGTCTCGTGTTTTCTGATCTCTAGATAACAGAGCCATATCTGCTTGTGTTGGCTCAAAGGTAAGCTACTGTGCATCGTTTTATATCTCACGAAGAGTTATGATTCTAATTGATCAAGATATTGCTCTCTTCTATTTATTTTGGCCGCAGAGAAGCTAAGTGAAGAGAGCTGACTGCTTTTAGCAGCAACTTCAGGGAGAAATTAGAATGACAGAAACGCAGTTACCGTGGTACTTCCCACGATTAATAAAACCCACGGGAAACATGCCCTTTGCAAGGAAATCAACATGTTTGAGAAAATCCAAAACCAAACAATTATAAATCACAAAGTTTCGTATACTTTTACTTGACTAGAGGGGGGAATGTCTTCAATAAATAATAAATCTAAGCAATCAACCAAAACCATGTTTCACAGCTTGAGCTGTCTCTTCAGTGGAAAAGAATTCTTTGAGAATTTCTTTTGAGCCATCAACTGATCTTGATTTCAATGCCCCCCCCCACCCCGAACCTCAGGGAAAATCCTCTCCTAAGTCTAGTTGTCGTATTCTCTCTGGCCTTCAACATTCAATACCTTCCTTGATTTCCTCTTCCCTACAACTAGTAAGAAAAATCCAGAAACCCAAGCAACCAGTCCACACTGATTATTAATTGCCTGTCTTCTAGCTTGTCCTGTCTGTGTGTATATGCCCCAGAGCAGTTCTTCAGCTGTCCACAGGTTCTCTGTGACCATCAGGAAAAAAAAATGAGTAAGCAAACAAACAAATAAAGGAAGAAAACCCACAAAGCTCTTATGTGTCAAATTAATTTGGAAAACTCTGACACGGGCAGGAAAATGGTCACATCTTCATACAAATTCAGTTTCTCCTACATTTATTTTGTCACTATTATGACTTTTGACTACTTCATATAATAGATGTTTGTCTAACAACTTCTTGGGGTACTGTTTTGGTTGAAACAGTATCTAAGTGATCTGATTGCATTTGATACTTGCAGTGGGTTAAAGAGTAAGCCCCCACAGACATAAGAAGTCTAAATTTAGGCACTTGTGAGTATGACCTCATTTATTTATTTTTTTCACTTCATCATCACTTTATTTGTTCTGTTTGCTCAAGAATATGACTATAAACTCAGGGAGCCATGGTGACAACACAACCCTAGCACCTGTGGTACAGGTCTCCAAGTTGGACTCTCTGACTTGATATCCCTCAAGAGGCCCTTCTGGTGACCCCCCTCCATTACACACCCTTCAGCTTAGAGCCCTGGTTAAGGAAGGCTCCAAAGGAAACGGCTCAGTACTGACTCCAGACCCACAACTTTGCGACCATCTTGGTGTTGTAACATCTTTCACTTCTGCTGCTGCAAGTTGGGTGAGGCCACAGGGCTCATGGGGCTTCTGTTTGCCCCACGGAGGGTAGAAAAAGAGTACTGACATGCCTCTCCTGGCCTGTGCTGAGACTGAACACAGGAGAGACCATGGGCCAGTGCCTTGGCTGACCAGGTAGAAGGACAGGGCAGGATCCTTGCTCTAGAGCAAGCTCCAGGCTCACTGATGAGCTCACAACCCTGGAGACGAGTCAGGAGCCAATATGTGCACACACCTACCTGCACACAAACATGTACACTCAGGTGCTCCTGGTGGAGTTGGGAATGGGCCCCCCACCTCCTCTGAAGCAGGGAGCATATAAGGACAGGAGAAATGGGACAGCCCTATGGCAGGCACAAGGCCAGTAAAGAGGGGGAGGATCATGAAGCGGCTGAGGCCCCCTCCTTTTCAGCAGGTACACTGTCATTGGTGGTCCCCTCTTCCTCTGCAGTCCCAGTCCCTAGCAGGTCATCATCCGGCCCTGGGTGCCAATCCCCATTGTTAATGGCTCTGCCCTGGTGACTCTCCTTGTACCTCATGGTGATGTCCCGCAGAAAGAAGCGCCAGACAGTCCACGTAAGCACCAGGATGGAGCCAAGAGTCCAGCACTGGGAGATGTAGAAGGGCAGTGACAAGGTGAGTGTGTGCGGGTCATACTTCACCACGATGAGCAGCTCTGTGACTGTGATGGCCGCCACCAGCCAGGCCTGCTGGCCCAGCTTCCTGTGGGGCTTCAGTTCATCCATGAAGTCATAGATCTCACGCATGGCCACACCACCCACGTTCACGAAGAAGACCAGGCGCAGGAGGACCAGGTAGTGTTCAGGGGGCATCCACAGCACAAACTTTAGGTAGAATGTGTTCAGCTCTGCCAGCAGGAAAACCAAGATGATGCCACACATGGCCAGCCAGTGGTGCAGACTGGAGGCTGGCTTCCACTCAAAGTGTACCCAGCTGTAGGGTGTGAACTGAAAAGCAATCCTCTTCATCCTGCCCTTGTAGGTTGGAATGTTCCAGAGGCCCTGCCACTTATATGTCTTCAAGGACAGCCACTCGAGCATCTTCATGCCACAGTAGATGCCCAGTCCGTTGCAGATGAGTACGTCCATGATCCAATGATCCCACCAGCACTCGCTGAAGTTGGGCAGCTGGTGCTCCAGGCTGTACTCCAGGAACTCGACCATCACACTGACGACCATGCACATCCACCAGTCGCGGAGCATGAGGGTCTTCAGATACCAGCCAATGAAGTGTGCAGGAACAAAGCCATCCAGCTTGTCCCGGATGTTGTGGAAAGGGTCAGTCTTGTTGTCAGCATCATAGATGAGGCAGTTGCCCCCGTAGTCCCTCTCTGGCAACGGGACTCCCAGCCTCGGATCCACATACTTCAGAAACTGCCGGCCATCCTGGACTGTCTGCTAGGGCTGGGGGGTGGCTCAGTAGTAGAGCGCTTGCCTAGCATGCAGGAGGCCTGGGTTCCGTCCCCAGCACTGGAAGAGGATGAAGATGAGAAACAACTCGTAGACCACACTAACACACAGCCAAAACCACCAGTAAGCTGGATGAGGTCTGGAAAACGGCCCGTCTTTGGCTTGTGTGACTCCAAAACATAAGAAAACCAAAATACTGGCCACAATACCTCTCTTAGTGTTGTAGGCTGTAGCCTGAGGGGTTTCTTCCAGGAGAGTCACATAGCCCAGTGAACATGTGAGGATGAACAGCACAGTTAAGATGTGGGCACGCCAAAAAAAGGTGTTGGTGCCATAGTCGTAGAAGGCCCTC